ACATAAAATTTGGCGTTGATTTGTAAGGTGCTAGAAAATCCATAGAGAATCTCACTTAGATAGTCTCCTAAGCATTTCTCTACAATTAAACTATAAAAACGAATATTTATTAAAAAACTAATGAAAAATATTTGAAAACTTTAGCTTTTAACCAAAAAGACAAAATAAATGTATAAGTAAATAGTACCATAAGTGACTTTTTAGGCTAAAATGTTCTTAACGTTTAACATTAAAAATGAACAGTATTCAGAAATGTTTAATTAAAACTCCCATATTTATTATCTATTAATATATATTTTGTATGCATAACATATAAACCATTCATCACATAACAAATGTTTTTATGTAAGTGCATCTCCCTGCTCTAAAGGATTCTGATCAAATCAAGAAGACCCCAGATTTTGGGTCTCACAATTATATCACCATCAATACTCTTTGCAGTGACACGTGGCGAATACACGTCGCCTATTTTCAGCCTAGACGCTTCTACCTCCATCCCTCCTCTCTCTCTGATTACTCTCTTTTTCTTACCATTTAAAAGTTAAAAAAAAAAAACTATGTTAAAAGCTCTCTCTTTCTTTATGTATTTCATTTGTGTACTTCACGAAAACCATCGGAGAGACCAAGACAACCAAAACAAAGCCGCACGCAACTTTGATCATCAGCAACAACCTTGTACAGTTCAGGTACTTTCTCAAAACATTAATCTTCTCCCATTTTTCATGTGATTCTTGTTAGCTGCTCTGTTTTCTTACAAATATTTGTTCCGGGTATTGATCGGTTTAACTTTTCAGCTTTCCTTTTTCTTTTCTAAATTTTGCAGCAAATTGGTGTCATTTTTCAGAGCTAAAGTTTTCATCTTCTCTCAAAGCTACACCTTTCATGTTTTGAGTCCAAAATTTAATCTTCACTTCTTCATTTCCTCATCAGTGTCAAAATTGTTCCTTTCTTAATTTTAATTTGAGCTTTGATTGTTTCTCAAATGGGGTTTCTTTCAAAATTTAGAAAACAAAACTTTGAAGGGGTCTCTTTGATTGTTGATAATGTTCCTTCTTTTGTTTGCAACTCAGGTGTAACTTGCATAGGCTGATCACAAGGTGGAAGATAATAATATAATTTATTTGGAAGTTTTCATTTTTCTTTACAAAAAATAAATTAATGGGTTGATTTTCGTTTAGAAAGTGAGGGGTTTAATTTAATCTGGATTGGGATTACTTTACTATATATTTAATTCTGCTATGTCTCTGCAAGTTTCTTAAGGTGTTGACAAATGGGTTTGTGGTTGTACAACTTGTACTCAAATTCCTTGTCGTTTTACCGCTTCCGTTTTCATTTTTGGTTTTCGGTAAATATTTGAGGTGTGTTGCAAATTGTAAATGCTTATCCTTGTTTCTCTCTCTTGATTGAGGTGGTGGCAGAAAGGAGGAACTTCTTCTGCTGGTTTGTGAAGGCGGTGTTGGTGGTGGTGGGATTTTTGGGGTCAGAGTTTTAGGAAATGGTGGGAAAAGGAAGCATCAAGGCTGACGACTTGACCTTGTGCTTTGAGAAGCTTATGATGTTTGCAAGTGCAAGTGGAAGTGCTTCTGGTGGAAGTGCTTCTGTTAGTGGTAGTAGTGGTGGTAGTGGTGGTAGTGGTGGGAAAATGAAGATGGAAGGAAGGGTGATGATCACTGATTGGAAGGATATTCCGATAGAGCTGCTTCTGCAAATCCTGGCGCTTACGGATGATCAGACGGTGATCCCGGCGTCTGGAGTCTGCCGTGGCTGGAGAGATGCTGTTTGCTTGGGCCTTACTCGCCTCTCCCTCTCATGGTATATGTTTTGCCTTCTCTATATTGTTCAAAGAAAGGAACAAATATATTGACATCACCTATTGGCATATGACCTTCGAAAATTAGATTTTTCTTGCGCGCGTGTTACCTGTTGAAATAACTCCCTCGGTTCTAGTAACTTGCAAAATTATCAGGTATTTGGAAAAATATTGCGCTATCTGCCTTGCTATGCAATTATCTGTTTTTTTGTTGTCCCTTTTGATGGTGTTGTTGCTCTTTGGAACACAATATAATTCCTTCGGTTATTTTTATGAATTTAAAGTCATCTGAATATCTGTTTTTGGTTTTGCGTTTGCGTTTGCTTTTTTGTTTTTGGTTATGCAAAAAATGATTCTGTCATTAGGCCTGACCAGGATCAGACTGATTGTATTGCTTACCCATGCTGTCTAGTTGTACAGACTACGGTTAATTAACTTACTGGAGTTGGTAAAATTCTATTAACTAAGTTTCCCTATTTAAGGCTCTGTTCATATTAGTGATGTCTATGTAGATGAATTCTATCATTAATCTCTCGTGGGAGTAGATTTAGTTTGAAGAAATAGATGCTTATGTTTATACGCTCTGTTTAATATCTAGCTGGATTTTTGTATGATTGAGCATACAAGTTCTTTGAGAACTCACAAGGTATTTTGAATCCAGGTCAATGTATTAATTTGTTTTAAGTTGTTGGGAAAAGAGAGTTGCTGGTCATCACGCGTCTATTTTATTTTCGTTTTTCTCCTTCCCTCTCCCTTAAACTTACCAACCCAACACAAAGCAGGAGAATATGTAAGTACGTTGTTGATTCTCAACTGACATGGCGGTAACTGGTAAGCTTGCTAGGGTCTAGACTCTAGATGCATTCACTTACGTTAGAGCTCAATTCCTTATATGGAAGGAAGCACAACACCACTTACAGGATGCTGAATCAAACACGGTTCAGAAAGGAACTAAATATCATGTTAGCATTTTAGAACTATCAAAAGCCTAAGAATATACTCTCGGGGCGTGGAGAACTTAATTTCCCTAGATGCCAATCCTCCTCTGTTTCCAGAAAGGAGATGAGTGATGTAAATGTTTGTAGGAACTTTGTGAATTGATTTAAGCTCGTCCGTTTAAGATGTTCTAAATGCCAACTTAATTTGTTAACTATGTTTTCAGGTGCACAAAGAACATGAATAGCTTGGTCCTATCTCTAGCTCCTAAGTTTACGAGATTGCAGACTCTAATACTGCGTCAAGATCATAAACCCCAGCTTGAGGATAGTGCTGTTGAGAGCATTGCAAACTTCTGTCATGACCTGCAGGTCCTGGACCTCAGCAAAAGCTTCAAGCTCAGTGACCGATCCCTGTATGCCTTAGCACATGGGTGCCCAAATCTTACAAAACTAAACATTAGTGGGTGCTCGGCATTCAGTGACATTGCTCTTGAATATCTTGCTGGCTTTTGCCGAAAATTGGAAGTCTTGAATCTTTGCGGTTGTGTCAGGACTGCATCAGACAGGGCATTGCAGGTAAAGTAAAGATTAGATACTGATTTTATTTAATTTTTTGTGTATTAACTGAGATAGCTCTGTTAATACTATTAAGATCGTGTGCAGGCTATTGGGCGTTACTGTAGTCAGTTGCAGTCTCTGAATCTTGGTTGGTGTGAGGATGTAAGTGATGTTGGAGTTATGAGTTTGGCATACGGATGCCCTGATCTCCGAACTGTTGATTTGTGTGGCTGTGTCCTAATATCAGGTATTTGGGTTACAGTACTTGCTGCCTGTTACAGTTGGTTTTAGTGGTCATATTTCAAAAATGTTATATTTCCAAATGCATGGGTTGATGTCCGCATTGCAAAGGAGTATATGGCGCTATAATGAAAAGTTGCGTGGCCTTGACCGTGCTGCTTCAGAGTCGGTTATCACAGTCCATTGTTAACCTTATGGTAGTGTCACTTCATGATGTCTCAGTGCAATCCCTAATGTTTTGGGGGAAATTTTTAGGACATGAACAGGTTGACCCGAAAATATTATCTGAACCAAAAAGGGAGCCCGTATAATTGAATGATCAGAAATTGAACACTGAAAATTTGTAGTTTACCTGGTTTTGTTGATGGTGATCACTTCTGATCCCATTATTCATTGATTGCAGATGACAGTGTGATTGCTTTGGCAAATAGGTGTCCTCATTTGCAATCGCTTGGCCTTTACTACTGTAAGAACATTACAGACAGAGCAATGTATTCCTTGGCCCAGAGTCTAGTGAAGAACAAGCCTGCGGCAATGTGGGAATCCCGGAAAACCAGGAATGACGAGGAAGGGCTTAGGACTCTCAACATCAGCCAATGCACAGCGCTCACCCCTTCTGCTGTTCAGGCTGTGTGCGACTCATTCCCTGCCCTTCACACCTGCTCTGGAAGGCATTCCCTCAACTTTAGCGGCTGTATGAATTTGACGTCAGTGCATTGTGCCTGTGCTGTCCAAGCTCACCGCACCGCCAACGCCTTTCCTCATTCAGCTCATTGAACCGATGAACGAGAATAAGGGTAACAGTGAAAGGTGTTGCAAGGGCCGTGACCCCGTGACTACAGTACATATGTTTGTATTGAGATGTAATATATTGGTCGCAAATGGGAAGCAACCATTTGTTCGAACCTACGGACTTTATCTTGACTTATGTCAGCTTTTAGACATTGAATTATGCCCGAAAATCATTTTCAAACATTCATTTCGTCCTACTAATATCTGTCGAAAACAAGAGAGAAAATTTAAAAGCATTTTTCTATATGACAATGCTTATATACTTAATCATGTAAATAAGCATGAAGCTTTTAACTGAAATTGTTAGGGGCACCCACTGAGGTGCACCCCTTCAAAAATAGGCGTATGCCACTATAAGCGCCGAGCACACGGTATTCTTTAGTAAAAGGCGAAAGAATAGTTCGCTTTGTACTCAACGCATGGCTCCGTGAACTGTCACATCAGCAAGCTGCTTTATTTTATAGTACCGTCTCCAGCTCCTTCTTGTTGCCCTGGTCGATGTGGGAACTTGATAGACCGCTTACAGCTCCTTTTTTGACTCTTTTACTAAACCTATACTATCCAGCTTGTAATTTTGTCATGCTTTGTTGGCCCTGTTGGGGTTAAAACACTAGCTAGTAAGATTGCAAATCTATTTTCTCCGTATTTTACGAGATAAATCAGCAAACCAAAGTAAAAAAATTCATATGAATGTTGGGGATTAACAATATATCACTGTACTCGGATTATATTTTCTAAAAAAGGAGTTGTTCCTCAATATTATGAGGGCATTGGGTAAATACATTGACACACAACACTGGCTTGCGCCATTCTCTTGATTGAATTGAATATACAAAATCCTCCATTTCCCATATGATGTTATGTATCACTTGCTTTTGTACACAATCTCTTCATCGTCGACATCGAATGCTGGATTACATAGGCATCTGAAGAGTCTGCCAATACCCTGCTAGTGAACAAAGAAAAAGAAAAAAATCAGCTACGCCTTCTTTCTACTCTTTCTTCGTTAGTCGATGCTGTCATATTTGTTTTTAAACACATATATAGATTCATATATATATGCTTTCGACATATAGCCTTAGGTGTATAGGATCTTATAACATGCCTGAGTGAGAAAAGGAGTTCTATGTGATAGCGGTCGTGGTGAATCCTCTTCAAAACTGCTATCTGAACTACTTCCGTCATCATCCGTATCAACAGAACTTTTCCTTCTTGAAGTTCCACCATTTCGCGTCTGCTTTTCCTCCTTAAACCAGAAAAAATAAAAATTTAGTGTCAGCAGATGATCGGTGTGTACATAATATCCAAGTTCGATCACTGATTAAACAGCACTCCACATGTTAAATGAATTGATGTTTGAGCATCTCTATACAAACATATAAGGGAAATTATATGCATAAAAAACCTTTGCACTCAAGTTTTTCTCTTAAATATACGATCGATCAAAATGACGGTTGTATCAAATGCATCCATGCCAAATTTTGTATAAGGATTTTGCGAAAAATTGTAATGCAGACCTGAAATATCCTTCCCAGATGTTTTAACGCCAGAGCACGAGCTTTAAGTTCCTCCCTTCTAACATTAGTTTCCCGTAAAACCTGAAATCACATTTCGAATCATAAGAAGGATCTGCACTAATCTTTTAAACATAATTCTTGCCAACAAATTATAAGGCACTCATCCCCAAAGACACTGATTTCTTAGCTTCCAGTCACAAAAATATTGAAACCGTTTATCTGCTATGGTATTAACTTCAGAAGGGAGAGGTTATAAACTGACTCGGGTAAGAAACATTGCGGGAGATGGAAAAGCAAAACCAGTTCCACGAAAACTTTACTTGATGAAAGAAACAAGCACCCCATTGATTGAAAGAAACCACTAACCATTTGGCAAACATGCAAGAGCGTTACTTCGATGTCCACCACATTGAGTTTCCACAGCGAGTTCAAAAGTGTGTCTTTGTTTAAGCGTATATGTGATTCAACGTCATTTTCAGGGCCACTACCATCCTTCTTAAATTGCCGACGGGTTTCTTCCTGAAGTTGCAGTAACTGAAAAGCACCTGGATTCAATTTTATTCAATTTAATTAGTTGAAAAATAATTAAAAGTATTAAGGGCAGTGAATGAGGAGCAAACCTTTTGCAGCAGTCATCTGTGACTTCCAGAAATGTCCCTTATTACGAACCCACTCAGCCACGAATGGTACCCCTAGGAATATGGTTTTCTTTCCAAGCTCTTGTGCTGCTTGTCTTGAATATACGTAGCCAATAGTGTGCAGCATATCAACTCCGAAGGCTGCAAGTGTGACAAAGCATTAGTAATTTTTTCTACGAACTTACAACTTCCACACTATGATATAATCACGATTATATAAATTCATGATGCGAAAAACACCAATGGGGTGCCAAATGAGCAAAATACAAGAATCAATGTCAGTTGCATTTGACAAAGCATACAAAAGTTTTGGTAGAGTCGGTTTCAGAAATTCGTTCCCCTGAACACTTTCAGGTTTTAATAATATGGATAATTACTAGCTCAGAAACTAGTAGCTAACTACATAGAGCCAGAGTCATAGGATTTAGAAAGACAGAGAAAGCAGGTGTATAAAATCAAATCAAAGAAAGATGCAACAGCGAATGTCAAGAAATGCATCACTAATCTTTCATTTTAAGCGGTATAATGCGAGTTATGCAGGATTTGAAGTGATATATAAATTTCTTGTGCAGAACTTAAAAACACCACGTAAATTTTTTTATAACCGTAAAATTTATGCGTATATTCATTAATCAAATAAGAAAATAAAGGAATTATAAGTAGGCCAATGAAACTTAAGTTGACCTGCATCAGAAAGTCGTTTAGCTTCGGATTCAGCATGCTGTAAGAATCCCTCTTTGTCACCTAAAACATATTGGTTAAGGAAACCTTTGAGCGAGTTAGCAAGCTTTTCTTCTCTTTCTTTCTGAACGGCCTGCATTATATAGATGCATACTAAGGATGCCGTTTAAGATTAAAGAAAATAAACCAAGTGAAGATAAAGAATGTAGAGAAACAGTTGCATAAAATGATGAAAACCTGAGGAAATTAATGATACAACCAAATTTAAGTTAGGCATGGCTATAAGATTGTCCGAGGATACTAGAACTATTTAAAACAGACAAGAAATTGTAAAGGAGTCGTAGGTTAAGAGTCTCCTTATGGGAACCAAAGTTTTTCGACCTACCACCCCATATAATTTTATATATCATGTTTTTGTAACTGTATATATATGTAACCTGACATCTCATCTCTTATGTATTTCAGTCACATGCATGAGCAAAATGAACAGATGCATTTCTAAAGAGAAAAGATACAGGCATATAACGAATTCTGGAAATTACTCGCCTTCAATTTATCATGAACTTTCTCAGGGCTGTCACCTTCACCAGCTAATTGAGAAGAAGCCATTGATGCTACTGCTAGATGTCCTATGTAGTCCTCAAATAATTCACTTCCGAAAAGGAAAGCGAAGACAGCTGTGGGATCAAGCATGGTTTCCCTTGGAAGAGAGACATTGAATTATTTGAACATCAGGAAAGATAAATGCATGACAGATAACAATATACAACAAGACTTTCAAGTTGTGTTGCACATAGTACATATCAAATAAGGTAGAGAAGTTTTCGATTAACAAGAATGTCTTAGATGAATAATGAAAAGACAGTAGGATTCGAAGAAGAATAATTTATTTGCAGTTGTATCATATTCGTTTTCCTTACACGATAAAGAGCTCTAGTAACAAAGGCTGTGATAGGATCGCTTAGATATGTGTGTGCTCGCACGTGTAAAAGCATAAGCAAAAGTAAGTGTTCTACCTAGATATGCAGTACTTTCCATTTCGATCATATGCATCTCTTTGCACCGGATCACTCAAAACCTGATAAGCTTCACCAAGTACCTGGTTCCATTTGATTCGTAAGAGGCTATAGAATTTTGTTACCTCGAAAAAAGGTAAACAAACAATACAAAACAAGGGCTCAAAGCAGTGGACTTGCCTGAAATCTTTCGGCAGCCTGAGGATCGTTTGGATTTTTATCCGGATGAACTTGCCTTGCCTGCACAAGTATTAGCTTCTACCTATTAATAAACAGAAGTTTACTAGAATTTGAAAATAAAAGTTGCATTATGTACACCCGGATTTGCACAAAAGAGAACATAAACCCCTAAACAAAGATCACTATAAGGCGATTCAGGTCAGATCGCTTTAAATGTACACATAGTTATCAAATTAAGGCCTCGTTAGGTGTCCAAGATCAGATTGGATTAGATTTGGTAACTTAGTAGATTCAAAGTACGTTGAAGCTGGCAAGAGATGCATGTCACCGTATCTAGTGAGTTATCGAATCCAATCCAATCCAACTCGAGACAGGAAACGAGGGCTAATTAAGATGATAAATGGAGGAGGAGGACCTTAAGATAATAAGCCTTGCGAATTTCCTCCTCAGAAGCGGAGGGAGTGACGCTGAGGACATCATAGTACTCAGTTTCTTTCACCATTCTTGCTTCAGCTGATCAATCTGAAAGCAACCACTAAGCTCAGAAAAGGAAACCTAGAGAGAGAAAAGGTAGAGAGAGAGAGAGAGCACATTGGCATTGCAGCGAGTGACTTTTGCAGGCTCGGCTTTCCAGTTTCACAGAAAAGAAAAGAAAAGAAAGTGAAAAATGGAATAAGATAAACAAACCGCTTTTTCGCGGGAGCGGAAGGCAACAGTTGTTTTTAACTGTCTGTGTCCCCATAGAGTCATGGCCCATGGTGGCGCTTATGATTACGACACCATTTGCCATCTTACTTTCGGATTTTTAGTATTTTTAGATCTGTAATTATAAATTCAAATAATTAAATAACTAAGATTTAACGACTAAAATTTTTGTTGTATGTAATACTTCCTTGATTAGGGATTCAATATTTAAGATTAAAAGACTAAAACTTCTTTTGTATAAGATACAATAGAAACATACTAAAAGTTTTACTTTTACAATTTTATTTTTACGATTTTTTAGTATGCATTAGTGCATAATATACAAGCTTTTTTATCCTTTAGATCTCTCTGATTGGGAATTCAATGGCTGGGATTTAACGACGCTGTATAAAATACATCGGAGATCGGACACACACCAGAATTTTCGTTAACTTAATGATTTTTATTTTATTTTCAAGGTTTTGGGAGCAGTCACCGAGTCAGTAACGAGTCGATTTCTCGGCTGTCATGGGCCTCTTTCCCTTTCCAAGTGCAGGTCCGTGTAATGTGGCTTTTGCATGGGCATTTTTCATTTAGGCGCCCCTGGTGGGGATTTCATTCGAAGGCTGTAACCCCACTTGCACTTCTTTCTTTTCAAATTCACATCGAAGTTGAGATTTTTATTGCCTAACATTTTTCTTCTTTCTTTTCACTACAACATTTTAGATTAAGGGACGAGGTCAGACTCAGCTACACAATGTTCTCGCTATAATAATGTGGTATCTAATTTATTAATTATGAGAGTTGAATTTAAGACTCCTTGCATACAAATAAAAAGATATTATTGGATTGTATACAATGAAAACTTAGGATTAGTGTAACGACCCGTCCCCAATTATTACGATTTTCATAATTTTAAAAAGTAAATTTACGAAAATACCCTTCGAGATAAAGTGTTGACTTTTATTGACTGCCATGTCGTGTCACGTACGGCTCATTTTCTTGGTATGTCCTCGTAGTACTCGTCACTACGGACGCGTAGGTGCAAACGGAGCGCAATTTGGAGTTATAACGAATGAGATATTAACGTTTAAAGTCGGGGCATTTTAGTAAATTAATTAGTTTCAGGAAAACACCAGATTTTTGGAGAAAAATATGGAATGCCACGTGTGTGGCCCATATTTAAAGAAAGATGGTGATGGGCGGTGGAGATGGAGTATAAAGGAGGGAAAGGAGGGAGGAACCGACGAATAAGAAAGAAGAGGAAGAAAGGGTGACCAATCAGAAACAAAAGAAAAGAGGTGAAAGGAGAGGGGGAAGAAGGAGGGGAACCCGGACCCCCCTTCCTTGACCCGACAACCCGGTTCTCCGACTTGGTTCCTTCATAATTTCCGACGCCAATTCCGGCGTTTTCCCTGCCATCCAAGGCCAGCCCCCCACTTGAAAACAACCCCTCTACTGCTCTTCTTCAACTTCCACTCCAAATTCGAGAGTTAACGGCCTCCATTTCGAGAGATATGGCACCGACGGCGTCGAGGGGTGCACGGCTGGAGATTTCCCATTTATGCATGCTTCGACTCCTACCACAACCACCAAAAACCTTCTCTAGAGCCTAGGAACAAAGCCCAAACCACCTTCGAGGTGGCGGAACACCGGTGACAACGAATCGATGAACACCCAATCTTAGGGTTTCCAGCGGGTTTTAGTGAAATTGGGGCTTTTTCTGGCCAAATTGGCCTTAGTCACAGGTATGAAAGTTACTCTACTCATTGACATCTTCATTCTTGTAAAATTTGGTAATTTTTAGAAATAGTTGGATTTCTGGCGAGTCGGGGTGGTCGACTGCCACCTGCGGCGGTGCGTGGGCCGAGACGTCCCCTGACCTTCCTAGGTTAAATTTGAATACCCTTGTTCCATTTGTAAAGTCTGATGAATGAATTTCCTTCATTTAAACTTAGTTCCATTAAGATCCGCCGCTTGATTAATATAGCAATCGACGATCCGACCGTTGGATCGTCACCAAACTTTGATATGTTATAATATGTAATATTTGAGGATATTAGAAACTTACGGATCGGGAATCTGACATACGAATCTTTCCGAATAGGATATGTAAGTTACGTATTTTATTGATAAGAATTCGAAGACATGATTTGATAATTGTTTTAGGCGCCGATCGTTCATGACACCTTGATGTTTCTGCTAAGGAGTTGTAGCGCGTACTCCAGGTGAGTAGGCTTTTGGTTTTCTATATATACGTATAAATGTTTTCTATTTTCCCAAAAATTGTTTTAAATGTATTTACGTTTTTAAATGCCATGTCATGCTTGCATTTCATTTTATTATATGCATTCGTATGTATATGCATACTATTGTATGACGCTGCGGAGGCCAGGTAAGTTTCAGGTGAGTACTGAATGATGATAGTGGTTGCATTGGTTATGGTTATACGTAGAGGCACGTAGAGCTCATTATCCTGCACCCTGGTGTTAGTGCTCCCGCCCGTGGCCAGGGCATAGTCCTTCACGTGATGTTCACCTCATACATCGCACACTCACCTTGGATCCAAGTTTTGTGCACATCCTTGTCGTATAGACCACATTAGGTGGTTCTGACTCGTCGGTGACCCATGATTATTCACACAGCCATCACGTGATCGTAACACTTGAGCGTACTTATTTACACCCAGCCTTGTTGTACATACAACATTAGGTGGTTCTGACTCGTGTACATGAATTGGTGAATGAGCTATAGGTTCAGCCGTACCAATCACGTTAGGTGACTCCGGCTGGCATATCATTTTACATTGATTTATTTCACCTTGGCTTACTTATTTCATTACTGAGATACTTGATATGGCATATACGTGGTTTTCACTACTATTGAACATGATTTCTATATACGTATGTATTATTATTTTCTGGGAAATTATATGGGTTTTACAGTGAGGGGTTATAATGTTTTCAAAAGGTTTTTATTAAAAACTTTATTTTTAGGCTCACTCACCCTTATTTTTGCATCCCTCCAGGTTTTAGCTGCTGAAAGTTCTTATCGACGAGGATTCGTAGCAAATCTCAGTATAGGTGGCTACCTTTGAGGGTATGATCCTTATCCACACTACTGTACTTTACTTATGCTCTGACGTCGCGTGTGAAATGGGTTCATCCCCACTCACAGCGCACTCTTGTATTCAAGTACTTTTAGGTTTAAATTTATTCACATTTTCCACATCATTATACTTTATGACTTCGTTACCTTCCAGGTGTCGGCCAACACAGCTTGATTCGGAGTCCCAGTGGATATTCCGGGTTGGGGCGTGTCAGTTAGTAACGTCTTTTTCACATGTAAATAAGGGCAAAACTTTATGAATTCTAAAAAAATGAGATAAACTCTTTTCTTCCCTCTGAAAAAGATTTTTTTTTTTAAATAGTGTTGTCCACACCTTTATTTTTACCTTTTATGCAGTCCTCATTAGCTATCAGATCGAATGAATTGAAGAAGATCAATAGCCAAATATTAACAAAGATGTATGGAAGGAAAATATATGCGTGAATAGGGCTGGGTTCGGTTCGAAACGGTTCGATTTTTTGCCAAAACCGAAACCGAACCGAAATTTCGATTCGGTTCGGTTCGGTTCAATTTTTTTCAATTTTTTTTTGTTCGGTTTTTTTTTGGTTTGGTTTTTTCCGGTTCGGTTTTTTTTTTTTTCCTTCTTTTTCTACAAACACCTTTGCATTTAATCTTGCACTCTTCGGCGCTTCCAGTGAGCATGTATGTTATCCAACATGTTGTGGGTCAAACCATCTCTACCTACAAAATCCAAATGAACTGAATCAGTAACCACTAACCATAAACTCATAAACCTTCTTCCTATTTTCTTGCATTTCGAAGCTCTAAAGTAAAAAAATTTCATCAAGGAAAACCCAAATCGAAACGCTCTCCAATTTCACAATTCTCATTAAGAAGCAATCAAATGAATCAAAACCCAAACGAAGGCTGTAAAAGCAAAGGAAGGAGATTATCTATAGCAATGAATTTGAAAATAAAATCGCAATCAATACATGATTGTTGCAGAACCCATGAAAACCCATGAAATTGAAAAGTTGCAGAACATTGTGTATATGTATTATGTAATATTCCTACCCATATACATATCTCCTTTTTGACTTCCTACTTGAACATGTTGTTTTTCTTACTTGCTGAGTTTCCTTGGTACAGGGAATTTTAATAATTCATGTCCCTGTTCGCTTCATAAAGTTCAACATCCATGATTCAACACGCTTGGGTAATATTTTCACCACTTTACATATAATAATTTCCCTTTCATTTTCAAGGAGGGATATTCAATTTTTGAAACTTTTTTCTGCTTTTGATAATTTTGCCCATTTGTTTCCCCTATCTTCTTCTTTCATTTTGGCATTTTATTGGAGCTGATTTGATTAGTGTATGATTCAGCGAGGAAAGGCAACAAAGTTGTGGACTTGTTTGCATGCCTCTGCAACACTTATGAAACCTCAGAAGATGAGTTGAGAAAAACAATGGAAATGGCTAACAGTTTAATAGTAGAAATTTTGAAGAAGAAGCATGTTTCGACGTATGTATATGGGTAGGAATATTACATAATACATATACACAATTTTTCACACTTCTTCTAGGAAAAGAAGAAAATCGCAAATCCCATGAAATTGAAAAGTTGCAGAACCCATGAAATTGAAAATAAAATTTGCAAAACACATGAAACTGAAAAGAAAATCTGTAGAACATGAGAGAAATTACCATGAGACTAACCTTGTAAAGGAAGTTGTGGGTTGTCATCAAGACTCGAAACAGCGAGGAAGTCGCGGATCGCGGTCACGGGGGTGAGACTCTGCATCGACATGGGGGTATCACAAATATGAAGCTTGGGATAGAAAGGAGGATGAGGGTTATGGAGAAGAATGGAGAAATTGGAGGCATGGACATGGATATTGAGGGAGTCTGGAGGTAAGGAACGAGAGAGAGAAGAGGGGGAATGAAAAATAGAAAAGGTGAGGTGCGGCTGCTACCTAGTGGCTAGGGTTAAAAGGGTTTTGTTGATTTCTTATAAAATTTTTGTTGATTTCTTATAAAAATTAAAAAATTTCTTCGAAATATTGAAGGCACGAGGGTTCGAACCTATGCACTCTAGCTTGAAAAGTTTCATTGTAACCAACTTGGCAACATATTCTGTTTTGTTATGATTGTATGACTAAACTATTTATAAATATTCAAAAAAAAAAAAATTAAATATATACATATCGATTCAGTTCGGTTTCCGAACCTAAAAAACAGAAACCGAACTGGCCAGATTCGGTTCGGTTCGGTTCGGTTTGACAGTTTTGGTTCTGTTTTTTTTCGATTCGGTTTTTTTTGACCTCGGTCTGGTTTGGTTTTCAGTTTTCGGTTTTTTTGAACCCACCCCTATGTGTGAATAACACTTTTCTTTTCAAATTTACAATGTCTAGGTAGAAGTTCAAAACAATACAAGTATGTTCCCCTCTATTAGAAAGATGAATTTGATGTTATCTACATAATGCAGTTTCTTTAGTATTTTCCGAATGACAAAAAAAAAAAAAAAACAGGCTTATTATATTAACATCCCACAAAATTGTTGAATAAACCCCACATTTGCTTTTTCAATGAAAAATTATCTTAATACACCTCACTTACTTCCCCATAATACCCCCACACCTCACATTCTCAATATACACCTTATATTTTCTACATGCACCTCATATTTTTTTATACACCCCACATTTCTCAAATATTATAAAGCTTTTAATTTGGACAAAAAAATGCCGACTCGAATTTTGACAGAAGATGCCGCTTGAGATTTAAAGCATATATGGGTTGTTTTCAATTCTACCATTAAAACCAATGTCGTCTGCTTTTAATATTTTGTGGTAATTTTAGGTGTTTAATTCTTCATGTAATCCTTGTGATCCCTAAAAGATGAATACGAACATAAAAGCTTGAATAATGCAGCAAAAGCAAGATTAAATAATTATCGATGTCATCAAAATCACTAAAATAATAAAGAATATGAAGTCTTACCTCATGTGAAGCTTTCGAAACATCGATTTCGTGTTTCATTTGTCAAAAATAATTTTTCTCAATCAACATGTTTGTAGTTTCATTGGTTAGAGTTTTGTTCAACAATGGAGGATCAAAGGGATTTTAATAGTTGAAGAAGATAAATAATACGTTAAAAGTGATTTGGGGTGTATTTAGAATTTTTTTGTTTTTTAAACCTAATAAGTTCAAAATTTCCATTGTATGGTAGGGTAAATAAATTATTTAATATTAAATTTTAATGTGAGATGAATTCAACATTTTGTGGGATGCTAATATAAAAAGCGAAAAAAAATCTCTCCTGCATTAAGATTTTAGTAAAATAGATGAGCTCATTTAACAAGAAGCCCCGCCCAGGCGAAACTGATCCATAATGGGTCGATCCAATCCAGCCAACATATTTTGGGCCTCAACTTTGTTCAACTTCTTTGTCTTGCTCTGCTCAGCGCTCCGTCTCAGTCTACCGCTTGCATCTCTCTCTCAACACACCGTACACTGGCTGCGAAAAGAGAAGGCAAGAGCTTTAAGCAGGTAATGGCATTTTCCCCTATTTTCGAACTTTAGGGCTGTGAAATTAGAGCAGAGAATTTCATCAGGGTTTAGTATAGTGCGGGGTTTTTCAATTTCACCCTGAAATTCTTGATTTCCGCCATTGAAATGGAAACTAATACCTCTATATTTGTGCGTCCAAAAGCAAATACTGGGTTTCTTTTAATTTATGACAAATCATTCTTTCTGTGTTGGTTTGATGGAAATATTTTGCTCGCACCACCGCATGGATTTCCGTTAGATGAGTTTAAATGTCGACACTTGTGCGGTAGATAGATTACATCACACTCATTTAACGGCAATCAATGCGCTGGTGATGCTCGCCACCAATTTAGGGTGGTAAGGAAAAATACACTGGTTTTGTGATCCACATTTTGTTGTTTTGTATTCGTTTCTGTTTGAATTCATTGCAATTTATGTGTGATGTACTAATTTGATTTCAGACTGGGACTGTTAGAAGATACTCATCAATATTTTTGTGACTAAAAGAGATGGTATTCGGAGCCCTAAGGTCCATCGTTCGACCTCTATCAAGAACCCTAATATCCCGAACCTCAACTTCTTCCTTGACGTCCTTTGCTGCCAACTCTGCGTGTCTGAAACCTGAGCTTCGCTTCGTTTCTGGTGGCAGCCAAGCTCCGTGGTTTTTCCCCATTTCCAACTATTTTCACAGCTTGACAGATACTCGTTTCCCCAAACGGCGTCCGACCGACAAGCCACGTCGAAAAAGGGCCAGCGTAAGACCTCCAGGTATGTTCATCCTCAATTCGTTCCTAAGTTTGTAGTTGAACTCTTATAATTTAAGAACTACCTCTTGGATTTGTTTGAACTGTTGGAAATGTTATGTTTGGTTACTGAGGAAAGAAAAAAACACTTTCTTAGCCGTCGAGTCTTGCCAATGCTTGTTGATTTACATGTAGGGTTTGGGGAAGTGGTTTAGTTGGAGATTTGACTCAAGTGTAAGTTATGTTGTTATTATTTGAATGCAGGACCATTTGCTGCAGTTCAGTGTGTTCCTGGTGCGCCAATAGTTCCTAATAGACCCAATGAGGGAAGTGTGAAGCGAAGGAATGAGAAGAAGCGCATGAGGCAACGTCGTGCATTTATATTGGTGTGTATTTCATTAACTTTTTCAGGAGTCTGATTATGTTTTAGGCTTCTTCTCTATTATTGTTTTAGAAATACTTGTGCGTTTTAACAAATAGAAAAGGAATCTCATTATTCATGAAGTGTGGTTCTGAACTTGTTTTGGAACATTAATAATTCAGACATTACTTTTATCGTATTTTCTTGTGGATAGTAGAATACTACGACAACCAAGCCTTATCTCATTAGATGAGGTCGGCTGTATGGATCATTGAACGCCACTGTAGTTTAATACTATATAATTAGTAACAAGTAACAACAGCCATTTTGGTGATGCAGTATTCCCATGGACTGCTTTTCCGGCATATAAAACAATCTTACGTAGTTTGTCATTTCTATTTGAACTTGAGAAACCATCACTACAACGGAGTCGTTTTGGCCTGGGACCATCCTTTAAGTTGGGATGGGACTTCAATTTGTACCGAGTTGCATGACATACAAGCTTATCACTTGACCTTGCATGTTTGTTGAAACCCCTTTTGCAGATATGTTCCTCCTTTTAATATGGAATGCGTTTGAATTTGTGCAGGCAGAAAAAAAGAAAAGGAAAGCTCTGGTGCAGGAGGCTAAAAGGAAGAAAGTTATAAAGAGAGTTGAGAGAAAAATGGCCGCTGTTGCAAGGGAAAGAGCATGGACTCAAAGACTCGCCGAGCTGCAGAAACAGGAAGAAGAGAAGAAAAAGTCCATGGCTTAGTATCACTATTGTGGAATCACTTTGGGATTGCCATGCTGCTGAAAGTTTTCTGCACTACCATTGAATTCGACTTGGTTTCTTTAGGTTCGTTATTCCCCTTAAGTGGACCTATATTCTGTTTAATCGTGGTTTGCTTACTCTCAATTTATACGGCAAGGGTCGTTTGGCAGATATTCTCCTTAGTGTTTTGTAGACAAGTAAACTGAGTTTTGATTTGCAATTTGCGAGGTTTGGTAGAGAAGTAGCCCCAGCCACCACATAAGCAACAACTGGTGTTTAGTAGGTCATCTTGCTCGTTAGTCGTTACATGTCGAGAACATGTTTTATATTTCACTTTTAATAAGTTTAACAGACGGAGTAGATCTCCTTGCCCCTCTCGTTCATTAATTTCCCATTTCGGGTTCAGGGTTTATGGTTTAGGACAGTGTACTAGTACTATAATTCTGCTCAAACAACATTAGAAACTGTAACCTTATCTCCACAATTCCATGGCCATATAAACGAAGCAAAGAAAGGATAGAAGAACAGCACAACTCTCACCATGACATCAAACCCGAACTTTGAGCTCTGGAACCATAAATCTACACTTGTCTGTAAACTTTAAATCGCACCGAAACATCAAACATATTGAAATCCATTAGGCATACAGAGTTCACATAAATTGAATCGAATGGCTTATTGTGAGGAAGTAAACAAAGGGAAACTCGGCGAGCAAATATTCAATCTTGATCCTGAACTTCAGTCCCCATCAGCAACAGCCACTTACTGATTCATCAGATTGAGGAGCTTTTTGCTTGAAGATGTTCTTTTTCACACCTGCTGATCCCTCAGCCACGAGACTCGGTGTTTCCAATATCTGCCCCATAACATGGTACCCATCACATCAGCACAAGAACAAACATCCAACTAAACCCATAATATTAACTGTTGGCCAAACAATCATATCGCTATGAACAAACATTTATGTTCATGCTAATATATATAAAAAAAAATAGCAGACTTTAGAATGAAAAACATCTTGTAAGCAAAAACCAACAGATTTGACACTATCGAATCAAAGCGTTATGAAACGGAAGTAAATTTCTACACACCCTTTTCTCCCCTACACACCCATATTTATTTCTGACCACTGGATTGGATGAACCAGAGGAGAATTAAGGAACATTACCGAATAGGGGTGTGAAAATCATTGAATTACAGTAGCAACAACCATTTCCAATGTACCCATGTAATGCTAAGCATGCAGCTACGAGGCAATCCAACAATCATAAGTAGTGCATAGAGAAAAGACGGAAACCATAATTTTGCATACCTTTAAGACAAGCTCCTCAAAGCACTGCTCTACATTTACTCGAGTTTTTGCACTGCACTCAAGAAAAAGGCATCCATATTCCCTAGCAAATTCCATCCCCTCTTTTTTACTTACCGTCCTTTCGCTTTCCTGGAAATAAGATAACTTCAACATGGATTCTGGTGGACAGATGCAAAAAGAAAACTCGTCTTTCCGATAGGCTAATGACAAGCTACATAGCATACATTTATAGTAATTTCGTTGTTTAATCGTTATACTCGCATGTTGATTAAGAATTTAAAAGATGAAGGTAATCCTAATTTCTTCATACCCTTCTATTTAATCTAATTTTCCTTCTTTTGAGCTCTCTATTTTGTTCCATCAACGCTTTTATGAGTCTAGTAAGCGTAAGAGACAAGGAGATTAGCGTTTATACACTCGATCAACACCAACTTGGCCTGAGACCCGAGACCCTTAGTTAGATACTGAAAGGTATAACTAACAGTTAGATACTGAAAGGTATAACTAACAGTCTAACACCACAAGTCTGAGAGGACATACCTTATCGACTTTGTTTCCAACAAGCATCTTGATGCAATCTTGACTAGTGGAATACAGATCAATCTCTTTCGCCCATATATCAGACAAATTCGTAAATGTTTCTCTTCGTGTCACATCATACACTGCACCAGACAATACGTAAATGACTAAAAAAATCCCATTGATTCCATAACAACAGCAACAATAATAAAAACAAAAGAAAAAACCATGCATACCCATTATTATCCCTTGAGCTCCTCTGTAATATGAACTGGTAAGAGTTCTAAATCTTTCCTGTCCAGCTGCATTATGCACAACAATTCATCTTTATTTCAGTGGATTCATTTAAACTTGCAAACGTAATCAAACCGAATCGACATAGTTCATACTACATACACAACCAAATTAATACAAAATCATTATCTACCTGAACAATGCAATCAAGCAATTCAAAAATCTTAAACTGAAGAACATCACAAACTTGCACAACAAATTTGGAAATTAATCCCCATAAAAAAGTATAAATTATGATATAAAAACAACTAATTACCTGTGTCCCAAATTGCAAGCTTCAATTTCTTACCCCCAAGAGTGACATGCTTTATCTTAAAATCAACACCTGCAAAATATTAAAATTACAAATTAAAAAATGGAACCTTTGTGCGCTTTTTTTTTTCTTCCCAAAATTAATTAGTAAAAAATAAATATCAAAAAGATAAGGAAATGATAAGATTACCGATAGTTGGAGAGAGATCCTCGAAGGTGTCGGAAGTGAAACTCAAGAGGAGCGTGCTCTTCCCAACCCCCGAGTCCCCAATCAGCAGCAGCTTGAACAAGTAATCGAACTCCGACTCACCAGACGACGTCGTTGCAGATTCCATCGAAAGCAGACCCTAAAAAACCCCTAAAATCCTCAGATTGTCAACGGAAAGTAGAGGGAGGAGTTTTGCTTTGCTGTTTGCAGAGAATCGAAGAGAATGGAAGGGGACTTTCTGAAGACTTCTTAACGAAGTTATTGCGGGGATCGCGTGCCCACACTGGCAGCCGTTGGATCACCGCATGGAGTGAAATTGTCGTCACGTGGTTGCTTTCAGCTTGGGAAACGTGTGCGATGAAAAGAGTAATGCGAAATTAAATTCGTGAATTAAATTTGTTCAATAAAATGACATAAAAGATGAAAAGAGTACCGAAAGTTTTTCGTTAAAATTTCTTAAATTAAATGACATAAAAGATGATAATTGAATTATTATTTAAATGTTAAATAAATGTGTTCATTTTTATTAGCGAGACATCATTTTACATACAAATTTAATATTCATAGTATTATTTATCGTAAATATAAACGTTTATAAAGCCTTGTGTTACTCTGTTGGGCCATGAAAGAAATGGAGGGAAGCGTACTCTCGATCCTTTTGCTTCATGGATTGTTTTTTTAACAGATGATAAGATGATTGACATAAATTACGGACAAATGATTGGAATACAGAATTTCAAGTGTAAAAATAACAAGTTATATGACATAACAGGGATTTTAGAGGAGTTGGGGGAGTTGGAGTCATATTAGACGAGAGATTTAAAACTTGTACTCAAACTGGACTGGAGTGCCATAAGTACTACGTGTAACTTATATCTTAACCTCGTTAATTCTCAGCCGTCAGCCCCCCACCTACGACCTCCCTCTCCTCTCTCTCCTCTCTCTCCTCTCTCCCCATCTGCACCGCCGTCTCCCACTCCTCACATTTCCAAATCCAAACAAAAATAGCAACAATATGTTGGCATCAAACCTGCCAAAGAGCCCCTTCTTCCCCACCCACTATGTCCCCATCTCCCGCTCCTTTCACATCACCTGCAGCGTCTCGCAGCTGCAAACGGCCGCGGCGGAAACAGTTAACGGCCGACTCTCTGAACGGAACGAGATTCGCCTCGGCCTGCCCAGCAAAGGCCGTATGGCCGCCGACACTCTTGATCTCCTCAAGGACTGCCAGCTGTCCGTCAAGCACGTCAATCCTCGCCAATACGTCGCCCAAATCCCACAGGTTCTCTAATTTCACGAAACATCCTTCACATTTACCTTCTTTTTTATGTTTGTGGGAAAAATTAATTTCATTTTTCATGGATTTTACTGTGTGCAGCTATCGAACTTGGAGGTGTGGTTTCAGCGGCCCAAGGACATTGTGCGGAAGTTGTTGTCTGGAGACTTGGACCTTGGCATTGCGGGTTTTGATACTGTCAGTGAATACGGAGAGGTATGTATCACAATCTGTTCAGTCAATTTTATTATTGTTAGGGATTTTCGATTGTTTACGTAATTGGGTTTTCCTTTGTTTTCGTTCTTGTTGAATTTCGTTACAAGTTTTTATAACTTGATATGAATATGGATAGATAATATGTCACGAAATCAGAGTAATTTGTGTCTGTTTTGAAATTGCCTGCAGTCATTGCATCTTTTGAAGAAATCTTTGCTCTTTCCGATGTTTGTTATCTAAAATGACTATGAAGAAGTACACTTATCTTTAAAACCTGTATCATCCGGATATGGGGCCAAAATATAAGGGAGGAAGCTAATCATTTTAAAGTTAGTAGGGTATCCCCGTTTTAAACCCTTCAGGGAAGACCCCGGAAGTTGTTGATAAACCAGAAAAATATGTCAGAGCCAGAAACAGGTGGACTTATGCACGCACTTGTGCATACTAAGAGCTTGTTTGGATGTGCTTTTAAAATGACTGAAAGCACTTTTGGTGAAAATATTTTTAGTACCAATCCTTGGTAAAAATGCAAGTAAATCCTGAAAAAGCACTTAAAGTACTTTCTGGAGGAAGCACATAACTGGTGCTTCTTGTATAAAGCACTTCAAGTGCTTTTGGAACTCAAAAAGATTTTTTTTTAAAAGCGTTTTCAGTCATTTTAAAAGCACATCCAAACAAGCCCTAATACCTCATTAAATTTGTTAGTTGGTCATCTTCTAGTATCTCTGGCCTTTTAGTGTTTGAATTGTGACCTGGTCAACTGGAAAAGGATGTCTTTTTGTTGGGCGGACCCCTTCATTTCGTGGATTGCGACAGGAAAATTGCTTGCAGTAATGTTGTCCATACTTAAGAAAATTTCAGTATTTATTATCCAAAATGAATCTGATGCATTGATATTTGACGTTTATCACTGATATTACTTGTCCAAACAGAACGGAAATCTGATCATCTAAAGTTGTCTTTTAGGGGAATGAAGATCTTATCATTATTCATGATGCTCTTGATTATGGGGACTGCCGTTTATCCCTTGCAGTGAGTTACTTTCTCAACTTGGAATCTCCATTTATTCCACTTGTATTATCTTGAATACCTTCAATTATCCTTTTTTTTTTTTTCAGATTCCAAAATACGGGATTTTTGAAAATATAAATTCACTGAAGGAGCTAGCACAAATGCCTCAATGGACTAAAGAGAAACCTCTCCGAGTTGCTACTGGCTTCACCTATGTATGCATTGCGTTTAGGATTTGTGGTGTTGTATTATTCTTCACTTTCTACATTGGGAACAAGTTTCTTTTGCTGACTCTTTGGAAATAAGGGTTTTGTTTGCATTTAATTTCACTTTCATCTTCTATTGCAGCTCGGTCCTAAATTTATGAAAGATAATGGATTGAACCATGTGAGTTTTTCAACTGCTGATGGAGCACTCGAGGCAGCTCCTGCGGTAAGAATATGCTTTGTCAGAGTAAAATTTGGTGGGATGTTTTGAGTTTACGAGGAGCATTGTCCTATAACGTGGTTGAGTTTTTCCAAGTGTAGTATAAAGCATGACGCATATTTGCCAGCATACACACACACACACACACACTCTTAATTAAGTGTTTCATGTCCTTTTGATGAAAAGCATAGGCTATCTATTTATTATCTACTTACCAATATCTCAACATAAGTTGTCGCTTTGAACAGTAGACTTGTCCAGACTTCTATTGGATTCTCATTGCTGCAGTTACGAATATTAAGATTATGATATTGCTTGGAGACTGAATCCATGCTTAAGTTTTAGATGACAATACATTCCGTGACTTTGTAGATAGGTAGTTACTCAAAGGGTATTGCCAACATTTTGTACTGATATGACTGATATGGACAGTGGAGAAAATGCTTGCGAAGAATAACGAAAATAGGGATTTAGGGTTTATGGAGGAACTCTTGACCAACTTTACTTTTTTTTCCTTAATAATTTTCTTCCCTTTATTCCAAAACATCTACACCTTTGTATAGGTGTCATATTAGTACAATCAAATGCCATCTAACTACAAAATAGGATAATACTGACCCACTACTCTACTAATTAGGACATATTTTAACAACTAGAAAATAAAGTTTATTTAGAAAAAAAAACACACGTAACATGTACAATGTAACTTAATGTAGAATTGTTGGCCTTGAAATCTGAAACTGTGGAGAAGATAATTAAATACTGCTTGTCTCTTTTAAATTTAGATGGGGATAGCTGATGCAATTTTGGACCTCGTGAGTAGTGGAACGACACTGAAAGAAAACAACCTCAAAGAAATTGACGGGGGAGTTGTGTTACAAAGCCAGGTAGGCTTCTTGGTTTGTGGCTCATCTTACCGAGCATGTGATCTCCTAGGTTTAAGCTTGCATCTAGAAGGAGCTGGTTTGAAACCCTGCTCTTTCTATATCTTGTCTTATGGTTGTAATTAGAATTTCTTTAGGCAGTTCTTGTTGCAAGCAAGAGGTCATTGATCCAAAGGAAAAGCGCCCTTGACACGACACATGAGATTCTTGAAAGATTAGAGGCACATCTAAGGGCAGAGGGTCAGTTCACGGTGCGTATTTTAAAAGTCCATTTTTGCCCCTTCAGTTTTTTGTTTTCTTACATATTTATGGGCTTATGGCAGGTAGTTGCAAATATGAGAGGAAACAGTGCAGAGGAAGTGGCTGAGCGAGTCTTGAGCCAGGCATCATTATCTGGTTTGCAGGTGAGGTTTGAAATGAAGCATCACTGTATCAAACCATGACCCATAAGTTGCAGTATACCATAATAAGTGGTCTTTTATCACTATTAGTATATAAACGGATCCTTATTTTTCCGTCTGATGAGTCTGTAAATAATGTACATGGTTACACATGCAGGGACCCACCGTAAGTCCAGTTTTTTGCAAACGTGGTGGGCAAATTGCAGTCGATTACTATGCCATAGTCATATGTGTGCCAAAAAAGGCACTCTACAAGTCCGTTCAACAACTGAGAGCGGTGAGCCATGATATTTATTATAAAAGTATTGGTCAATGTTACTTGAAATTTTAAATCTAATTCCATGTTTGACTGAAGAATTTTTCTTTCCTTGGATACCGGGGTTTAATCTCTTTGCTCTAATTTGTGCAGATTGGAGGCAGCGGAGTTCTAGTTTCCCCATTGACCTACATTTTCGATGAAGAGACTCCAAGATGGCGTGAACTTCTCTCAACGCTTGGCCTCTAGTTCTCCGTGGCCGATGATGTGCAGGGTTTTTTGTATTTGTTTTTGTAGCTATGGCAGTATTTAAGAGTTTGATGGGCAAACACGTATTGATACCTGCAGATGGGCTATATGTCGGATAAAAATGCACTTAAGAGGAGGGTTTAAAGTTTTAAACAATGAAATTCATTGTACTCTATTATGTTTGAATCGACAACCCGGCTTGTAATCAGAGTGGTGGCGTAAAGACATTTGTATGCATTTTTCTTTCAGAAATGTCCAACCATAATGAAAGTTTTTAAGCCGATTTTACGTACATTGTAACTTCTAATACCGTTACATGTGCCCAATACGATTCCTCTGTGTCATTTTCAGGTAAAAGTAGACTCAGAAGACGCGCTTTTAGCTTTTAGTCGAGAGATTCGTTTAGCTAACAAGACGGGCATAATTTGAATTCAACCCTGAAGTTGAGCAACAGCGCACTGAAGATATGCATGAGCTCGTACCAGGCAATGCTATCAAGTTACAATGGTAAACTGGTATTGAAAGG